AACGTTAGAAATGCTTTTCTATACAATGTTATTACATTCTTTCTACATCACCAAATAAACATTACCCTAATAATAACATAAACATCGATTGTAGATAACTATTTGTCCAAAAGGTTACTTTTGAAACTACTCCGTCTTCGTTAACTTCTATACGATTCTCCGGTATACTAACAAAGAACAGTGGGCAATATAATGCTTGATAGTGCAAAAATGTTCAACCGTTAAGAATCGATAAGTAATAATGGCTGGGTGTAAAAGAGCGTAATCGCTTGGATAAAAATCACAAAACTGCCATCACAATAACAGCTCTGTTTTTACCTAGATGAGTGGTTTCCATTAATTACATGGCTTTTATGGGAGCAAATTTTAACTATGATTCCTAACTATGAATGTTATCGTTATAAAAGAAACGTCATTGCCTTTCTAAATGCAAATAAAAAGTTTTTTAAAAATAGTCTTGTTTAAGTATGTAATTTTCATCATAATTTCAAATTGAATTTTTACAAACTCATTTTTACAGCACTAAAATACATATTTGTTTCACTAACTATAATAGTATCATAGAGTAAATTAAGCGAAGGGAGGAAAAAATCGAATTAATTGCTTTTATGCACAAATAAAGTATTTTATTCAAGGAATGAGCCTTTTATCTGTAACTTTAATTCCTGGCATATGGCTGAATCACAATATTCCGTGGAAGCCATCATTTATATTGACCGTGATGATAGTGGTTAACCCTTTCATTTTTTGACCAGTTTGTACCCTCCTACCAACTTCTTCACACACTTTTGCTAAATGTGTGGGGTGTCGAGACGATTAGGGGTTAAAAATTGAAAAGCAAAACAGTTCGGTAGATGAACGAACTAGGGACTCGAACCCGGGGATAAATGACAAGCAGGTCACCACCTACACCACAGATAGTCCGAATAAAGTGATTGCTGTGACTCATGTGACTAATATGACTAATGTGAATGTGACTAGCAGCTCTGAACCATCTGCCATTTGTATTGAACTCTATGCTGGTACCAAGATGAGTTGCTGAACCCACCTATCAAGCCACATCTGCCAAGGGTTTCGAACTCGGGACTTTTCAGTTTAGCAACCATGAACTTTACTCGCCTGATCACTCCGATGTTTAATTTTTCAATTAATGACACGGAATTGTTTCGATTATATTACACATAGATGCATTTGTTATTACAAATACAAGCATTTTTTATTATAAATACATGGATTTGAATTCAAGATCAATTCGGAACTAATGCTATCCCATACCCAGTTCACAATTTATGTAGCAAATGAAACAAACTATTTTAGGTCATGATTTGTAAAAAAAAAAAAGAGATTACAATGAACCTTTAATGTTTACAGCAGGAAAAGTTAACCACCGCCAATTACTGTGAGTGCTTTTCAGGTAAATTTGATTACACGTTGTTGTTTTGATTCTATAACAAATACATGGATATAGATCCATGTACAATTCGGAACTAATGTTATCCCATGCCCAGTTCAAAATTCACGTAGTGAACGAAACAAACTTTTTTAAGGACGATGAACCTTTAATGTTTACATTTAGAAAATTTAAACGCCGCCAATTACTGTGTTTGCTTTTCAGGTAAATTTGTTTAAACACGAAGTGCTAAAGGGCCCTAACCTCGGGTGACTTGTTGCTCGTCTGACGGGTTAGCACCCTGTGAACTCGTCAAGTGACCAGCTCTTCACCCCAGTTCAGGTCTAGAGTCAAACAAGGTGAAGCAGACGTGAAGTGGGTCCCTAGACTTTGACAGCAGGTCAACATAACGTTCAACCAAACTGGGTTAACATAACGTTCAACCAAACTGGGTTAACAGGCCGTTCAAATAAAGTCGGTCACCATGATATTCAATGTAAGTAGGTCACTATGATATTCAATGTAAGTAGGTCACGATGATATTCAATGTAAGTAGGTCACCATGATATTCAATGTAAGTAGGTCACCATGATATTCAATGTAAGTAAGTCAGCACGCCATTCAACGTAATAACATTGCTAATGAACCCACCATGATACTCAGTCTAAGTAGGTCAACGTGATGGCCAAATTACATTACAATAAACGGTTAGACATGTGCATGAGTTTAGAATCCAACTATATTAAAGTTCAACAGGAATACACGATCTGGTAAACTCTACTGTGTGTAGAGAAACTTTACAGACCAAGCGGTACCTGAGGCAGGTGCAGTAGAGTACACCTGTTTTATCAGCATTAAGACAAGACTGAATTAAGCTTGGAATTATTCCTTTTTTTGTCCTGTCAGGTACTGACAAGGGCTGAGTTGACTCAAGGAGGTCCTACTAGTAGTCGTGCACACTGCTGATGGATGTTTAATGTAAAATGTGAAGAATTTAAAAATCTCAACTACACATTTAATAAAAGTAAAAAGAAAAATATTTTCGATAATCTGATAGTGTTGCTATTTGTTTAATATTTGCAGGAATTCTGTTCAATCAAAAGTGAAAAAAATGTGGATTTAAATCTGTGTACAAATTTACTACAAGCTTTTATCATCATTTGTTCAATAACAAGAATTAACTTCTGCATGTGCATTGTTGCGACCATGAACAATGATTAAAATGTAAAGGAAAGGATAAATAAATTCAAATGAAACAAAGAATATTATTTGACATGGATGAGAAAAGGAGCATTGAAAAGGTTACCATTATATAGCGTAACGATGACCTAAGCATATGGACGTCAGTGAAAATACAGAAAAATAAAAGAATCGGAACAAATTATTTTACTGATTATTTCCCCTTTGTCCCCACATCACTCTTCTTGGCTTGTTTGTTACCGGTATTACATCGGTTGTTTCCCTTTGCCCCTGCTACTCTTCTTAATTAATTACCCAGATATGTTTTGTTAGACTTGTTCTGTTAGGCACAGTTACCTACGCTGACTGGTTGACGCCAACCTAGACAGACACTCTTGACATCACCCTGCATATAATCGTCTGCTACATTTGTGTAGCTTCGTTTTGTGCAACGTTTGAAATTTTGAATCTAAAATTTATTTTAAAAAAAAAAGCATTTACAAAACTAGAAGTAACAAACGAAAATGCAATGGCCTATTGATGGAGAAATTTCTTTTTTAAACCGTAAAATAATGTAACTGCGCTTAACTTGAGAGTAAAACTACCAAAACAAACTAATTTAAGCGGTTAGTGCAATGTTCGGTATGAGATTAATTGAATAATTTCACAGCGCTCAGTGACAGAATCAGAGATAGCCGCGAGACAGAGAGAGAGAGAGAGAGAGAGAGAGAGAGAGAGAGAGAGAGAGAGAGAGAGAGTAGCCAACACATCGCTGGTTGCTGCGATCTTAGAAGAAAGGAAAATCAAGTTCTCTTTTCATAACATTCAAATTACATTGTGTCATTTTTATTGAAACTTGTTAGTATTCATGTTAATATAAAAACATTTCAATGTGTCCTTCAAATTGTATTCAATCTGTTGAGTGCTTGTGGTTACAGGAACAGACAGTCGCCTCACACACAAAACCAGTGTTTCTTCCAGACTTTTTTCTCCGGGGGGGGGGGGGGGCACTTGAAATTTTCGGGGGGGGGGGGGCGGTAGACTTTCTTCGGAACGGGGGGGGGGGGGCGGACACTGTTAAAAGCATATATTTTCTATATAAATTTCATTTCGTTCGGAATCCCCCCCCCCCCCCCCCCCCCAAGAGATGCCTGGAAGAAACTGCAGAAAACCTGACAATGTACGGCCTAGTATGTTGAATCACTGAATTGGAATTCTAATGTAAAAAAAAATACATTATTAGTCACATGAAAGAGACTATCTTCTGGGTAGATTTCGTTCGCACGAACAAGTAGTTCATTCAGTGAAGGTTAATGAAACAATTCATTCAATAATTTAACTTCCTTCTAGATCTTTAACTTCGAGGGATAATGATTTTTTTTAATTTGTGTGTGTGTGTGTGTTGTGTTTGGTTTTGATACGTACGATTTCACACAATTTACTTCCTGGAATCACAAGCTGTTGTCAGATTTATTTCAAGTTAGGCCAGAGATCTGACATAGAAAGTTGTACATTCATTGAGTAAGGTGAGGTCTAGATTTTCATTATTTTATGGTTGATTTGATTCAATGTTTTAAAATCAATAACGGAAATGTACTTACTTTAGATAACAATATTTAAAGGAAAACAATTGTCAATTTTTTTAAAAATACAAATGTTATTCTTTTTATAATTTAAGTAAAGTAGCATTTATTACATTGATGCAGTGGCGTAGCGAGGTCGGGTGTCACCCGGTGCAGCACTTAATGGTGTCACCCCCAGAGGCGTAGCGACCCTTCTCTGGGACAAACTTTCAAATTTTCGATTTGCACCCCCACCCCCCTCAAACTTTCGATTTGCACCCCCCCCCCCCCCGTTAAGTTTTTCTCTATATATTTTGCTATTTTTTGCCTTGGTGTCACCCCCCTAAATGGTGTCACCCGTTGCGATCCGCACCGCCCCCCCCCCCTCGCTACGCCTCTGCATCGATGCAAATGTTAGTTTTCATACAAAGAGCTTAGTAATAAAACAGATAGTGTGAGTTACATCACAAACATGTAAGTTAACTAACTCTACTTGTTTCATTAATAACTGTATTAAACTCACTGCAGCTACCATTTGCTTTTATACAAAGAGGTTGTACAAACTAATAAATGGTAGTAGTTATATGCTGACTTAAGTCAGTGGTTCTCAATTTGGGTACGATCGAACCCCAGTTGTTCGATGAGTAAGTCTTAATGGTTCGTGTTCAAGACACACACCGGACTCACATAATTCAAAATCGGACTTTTGTCAGTGTGGACGATAAAACTATTAAGAATGATTCGGTGAAATGCTTATATGAAACCGATGGTGTTCTTTACCTGCAGAAAGGTTAAGAACCACTGACTTAAGTAATAAATAAAAACTAAAGCAAATTTTGATTTTTAATTTTTCTTGTCTTAGGATAAAAATGGCCGATGCAAAAGATAACTTGCAGATATTTCGAATACTGCTGTTTCTTTTCGTAGCATGCGCAAGCTCATTAGAACTTAGGTCAAATCATCTGGAAATTAAAAATGACGACCAAAACGAAACGAGTTTAAACCTGAGCCAAAGAAATGACAGCAATGCTTCGGCAGCGGGAGGTTTGTTCAGAGGTGATACCAACACAAAAGACAGCAACATCAAAACAGCAAGAAGACTTGGAGAAGATAAGCTGGATGGTGAATACAGCGGCTGTCACAATAGTCATGAGATTGAACCCAAACATAGTTGCAGTTGTAGGTTCAACATCTGCAACTGTTCAAATCAAAGACTGAATGCTGTGCCTAGCGATTTGCCCTTCGACATGACAACGCTGATATTGAATAACAATTTCATTCAAGTTCTCCAAAATGGCGTCTTTAGTAACTACTCGCGTTTGAGAAATCTATCTCTTGAAGGTAACAAGTTAAAATTCCTTTGTGAAGATTCATTCCAAGGACTCAGTCAGCTTGAAGTTTTGAATTTATTCGCCAACTCTTTAAAATACAATGAAGCTAATTTTCCTACGGGTGTTTTTAAGCCCTTGAGCTCACTTAAGACTCTCATACTGAACAAAAATAATAAAGATTTGAAGAATTGTTCATACCCGCACATCTCGCTCTCTGTTTTGACAAATGTACAGACTCTGTATCTCGATGGTATAAGCACAAACTTTGGTGTAGGATTTACTAACATGACACATCTACAAACCTTAGTCCTGGTAGGATATTTATCTGGCTATTGTAATCTCATCTCTCTAAATAACTCGACATTTGTTAATCTCAAACAAATAACTGCACTCAATTTAAGCGATTGTGGGCTAAGTGGGTCTAAAGTCAGTCATAATACTTTTGAAAACTTAACAAACCTTCAAAGTCTAGACTTGTCTAGTAATTGGAATTTCGAGATGGAAAATTTGATAAAGATGAAATGGAACCCCAATCTAACAAAACTCTACATCAACGCTGTTGTTTCTCGTTTTTCCAAATCCTTGACCATCACCGAAGAATACGTTGCAAATCTTCCAAAATTTTTGACCCACTTGCAAGCCAGAGATAACTGCTTTGAAAGCGTGTCAGAAAATGTACTCTCAAAACTACCTACAAGTCTAAAGCATTTAGATATAGGAGGAAATAGATTTCTTTACGGGACTTATGTCAGGAATCTTTCTCACCTGGAAAGTTTAGAGACTCTTATCTTAGATGGGGCTGGCCAGGTACATAAATTGCCGCGATCTAGAAACCGTGAGTTGGAAGAGGTCATGGAACGCAAAGAAAATTCTTTAGGCATTGATTTCTTTTCTATTGCTGTTCCGCCAGTTTTGAAGACTTTAAAGATGGATGGCGCTGGTTTACAATACCTGCTGAGCAAAATAAAAATCACGAACAAAAATCGTATTGAAAATCTTATACTAAGCAGCAACTATTTTCCTGTTATTATGGGACCGATTTTTGGACTTGAAAACATAAAATACATTGCTTTAAAATTTACCTCTACTCATACAATCGATAAACAGTTCTTCAATAACCTGGTTAGTTTAGAAAATGTCTCTCTTGCTAATAATGTTATTGGAGAATCTCTAGAAAAATCTAAGACAGGAAATTCGTTATTTCACCCTCTTCGTAATTTAACAACTTTAGATCTATCCCATAATTTTATAACCACCATGCCCAACAATACATTTAAAAACCTGGATAAACTTCAAATTCTAAATCTTGAATCCAACAATATGTGGCAGTTCACTGTGGATATATCACATATGAACAACCTAACATTGCTGAACCTCAGCCGCTGTCAGCTGACGAGTTTACCCGTCAAACTTCGAAACCACATCGACTTCCTCACCACCAAACCCGGGCACAGCATCACCGTGGACCTGTCTTTAAACCCTATCAACTGCGACTGCGACAATTTTGAATTTATCCAATGGATGAAGAAATCTCCAGCCTTTGATGCGAACTTCACACACTACATGTGCCAGTACTCCGATGGATCCTTCAGGTATGTCACGGATGGGTACGACAAAACTCTACTGGAACTAAACAGAGCCTGCGTGAGTAACTACATCATCTTTCTTATTGCTGTACTCTCCACCATCGTGCTGGCTGCTGCCGTCGTTGCTTGCATCATCTACAGGTACGTTGACCAACACCGAACAGCGTGTACCTTAATATTTTACCGACAATTTACATCTATTATATTTTTTTAAATTTTAAATTCCCTAAATTACGTGATTAAACCTGCTATCGTAATCCGATTTCTAATTAGTTGAAGAATTTTCAAACAACACCCTCAGTAGGTTTTCTATTTAATAATTACTATTAGAAATAACTCTCGTGCCTGCATCAACTTTAACCAATCCACAATAAACCCCTCTTCATTACATTATATGTATATATATATATACATATATATATATATATATATATAAGAATAATAAATAAGCAATATGTGGGCGTGCGTGGGCATGTGTGTGTATGTGTGTCTGTGTATGTGAGTTTGCATCCAGACAGATCGTATGTTACGTATGTATCTGTACGTATGTACGTATGTGCGCTTGTTATTTTAGTATTGTCTAGAACACATGTTCCCGATCTTGCAAGGTTTTTCTGGGGGATTTTCTAGTTGTAGACTATATATAAAATATACTTTCGTAATGGTATGGGGTCCCGGATCACCTGGGATGTATTAAAAGTGGTCTCCACTCAAACACGTTTGGGAACCTAGGACATGAAATGATGAGGGGGGTGATTTAAATGTGTGTGAAGACTTAAATAAACTTGAATCATTGAATGTTCACTTCAGATTTCGGTGGAAATTGCGCTATCTCTACTTTGTCGCCTACAACAAGTTCAAAACTCCAAAGGAGGCTGAAAGTAGTTTCAACCACGACGCTTTTGTCTCTTACGCATGCGCTGACGAGAATTTCATTGTGAATGAACTTATGCCAGGTTTTTGTCACAATAAAAACGAAACTATTTTTTTTCTACTTAATAAAATTCTAATTTTTTTTAAATGAATCAAAGTATGTTTTTTTCAACAAGTTTATTAGTTTGTAATGAGTTCAGCTAGTTATAACAACTTTCAGTTTAGTAATAAGTAAAGTTCCATTTTCGAACTTGGTAATCCAGGGGACAAGAAAAGTAGAGTTTACCTGTTTCTGTGACCTTTGCATATAAAGAGATAGTGTGGTCAGCACTATGCCCTTGCGCCCATACTTTCCTTGTCAGGTATCCTTTAGAACTGGGTAGACTCAGGGATGTTCTACAAACTTAAACCCGGATTAGAACTTGAGACTTTCGGGTTAGCAGTCTAGCAATTTCTCATTTTCTCTCTCTATCTGTCTCTCTATCTCTCTTTATATATATATATATATATATATATATATATATATATATATATATATATATATATATATATATATATATATGATTTTAATAAATATTTGTTAGAGTATTGACTAATTAAGGAAAATGAGTGAAATATGCGGTTTGATTTTTTCACAGAGTTACAAAGTCACGGTGTGGATCTTTTCATACACGGGAGGGACTTTGTGACGGGGGACTACATCGCTTCAAACATTGTCACCGCCGTACGAGAGAGCAGGAAGACTTTGGTGGTACTCACTAGACACCTGCTCAAGAGCACCTGGTGTAACTACGAGCTACAGGTAGGTGCACCTGTCTGTGAGATCAAAAACTCATCGATCGAATCGTAAAGTCGGATACAATTTTACCGGTGTATGGGTAAAACCAGACTGCCCAAAACTCACCTGTCTAATGGTATGGTCAGATAGGTAATAACTCACCTGTTGTAAAGCTAGATCAAATTTTCAAGGTGTATTGTCAAAGACAGTCACCTCAAAACTCACCTGTCTAATGTTATGGTCAGATAGGTAAAATCTCGCCATATGTAAAGCCAGATCAAATTTTCAAGGTGCATTGTCAAAGCCAGTCACCTCAAAACTCACCTGTCTAATGTTATGGTCAGATAGGTAAAATCTCGCCATATGTAAAGTCAGATCAAATTTTCAAGGTGTATTGTCAAAGACAGTCACCTCAAAACTCACCTGTCTAATGTTATGGTCAGATAGGTAAAATCTCGCCATATGTAAAGCCAGATCAAATTTTCAAGGTGCATTGTCAAAGCCAGTCACCTCAAAACTCACCTGTCTAATGTTATGGTCAGATAGGTGATAATTCACATGTTATAAAGCCAGATCAAATTTTCCCGGTGTATTGTTAGAGACAGTCACCTCGAAACCCACCTGTATGATGGTATGATCAGATACGGGTCGTCCATAAATGACGTCACACTCGCAGGGGGGTCCGTAATTTTGTGACGGTGTGTGATGTGGGGGAGTGGTGTTCAGATGGTTTGACTTCACTTTTTTGCATTATAAAAAAGCACTGTTAGAAATCGAGTTTTAGTCGTTTAGAAAACGGTTTTAATAAATTTTAACAGGAATTGATCAAAATACTCTATTTTGACAGAGTTCTGACAAGATTTTAGAAGGGGTGGGGGGTTAAGGCTGAGGTGTGACGTCATTTTAGCGGGGGAAGCTGGCTTTTTGTGACGACGTGTAAAGGAGGGGAGGGGGAGGTAAAAATCGTCAAAACAGCATGACGTCATATATGGATGACCCCATAGGTAAAAACTCACCTGCTTTAGTGTCAATTAGATTCAACCTTTGCAGCCTTTTAATATTATAAACCCTCATGCACGGACTCCGAGTGATATGTTAATAAGTTTTAGTCTCCTTTAAGATACTTTTATTTTCCTACAAGTTTTTCTTTGTTCAATATATCATTTAGTCTGTGTGATAGGTCAAACAATGTAATATACTTTTTTGGCAAAAAACACACAAGTGACTCCCACCCCAGGAGAAAAATGTATGAAACAAACCCTAAATGCATCTTTGATAAATATATAGTTTTCATTAAATAATTAAAAAGTATTCGTTGGAAATTGGTTTTAAAATTCCTATTTTAAATATCACAAGGGGAGATAACTAGCTCGTAATGATAGCTCTATCAGTCGAGTGCACAACAGGTGTTCATGAAAAATTATCTTAAGAAATCTTTGAGATTAGAGACGTGGGGGCAGATAATTGTCGATTGTAACGCAAAGGTAATGCACATTAAACTACTAAGGGGGGTTTTAAGCCAATATCTTCAATAGTTTAATGGTTGACGTGATTAAGCACTATAATTATCATAGAGAACAGAACAAATAAATTGTTTAAAAGTTAATTATTGAATTACTAGCAGTTGGGGCGTCCGAAGCAAATCTATCCCTTACCCCCTTTCCGAACGAAATATAATTTATATAGAAAATATATACTTTTACTAGTGTCCGGTCACTGTAAAATAGAACCCCACCACCTCCCCGAAAGTTTCAAGTACTCTTCCTCCCCCTGAGATAAAAGTCAGAAAGAAACACTGATTACTATTTTTATAGTTTTTGACATCCTTGTAGGGGTCGGCGTGGTCGAGTCTGTAAAGCTCATGGTTGCTAAACCGAAAAGTCTTGAGTTCAAACTCTCGGGCAGATGAGGCTTGTTAGCCAGGGACAGCCACTCTTCTAGGAGAGACAACTCCAAAATCAAACATGTATAAACATATATCAAATTAGAAGACCTTTCTTAATGATGAGAAAATAGAGTAACTCTTTTTTTATATAGAAAACAGTTAAATACTAAAGTGTGTACAGTATGTTTTTAAAAAAACAATTTTTATTGTAAGAATATTAAATAGGAAAATAGTGTGTTTTATTTTACTAAATGGTGTGTTTCAACGTGTAGCTTTAAGAAACATATAACTACACATCAAACACATGTAAACATGACACATCTGTAAATACGTGTATCAAACTTAAATGATCTAAAAGTTTCCCTTTCAAACCTGACGGTCTATGGGGCAAGTGAAGTTGAGTTCACTTGTTTCTGTGACCTCGGCATATGAAGAGATAGTGTGGTCAGCACTATGCCCAGCCGCCTTTACTTTCCCTAACGTCAGTTAGGTACCCATCAGAATTGGGTGGACTCAGGTACGGTCTATTGACTTGGACCCGGATTCGAACACGAGACTTACGGGTTAGCAGTCCAGCTCTCTACCGCTAGACCACTCCGTCCCTTTAATGATCTAACTATGCCACAATGCATCTCAACTTAATCACCCCGACCTTGCCTTTGTTCCACCCGCCCCCCCCCCAGATGGCCAACATGGAGTCGGTCCACACGGGGCGACGTGTGCTGCTGTTCCTCCTGAAGGATTCCATCCCAGCTGGCGAGCTGGGCCACGAGCTGCTCTACCATATCCGCAGCAACACCTACATCACCTACCCCAGCAGCAACAACAGCAGCGACAGGGAGTTGCGTGTGTTCTGGCAGAAACTTGCTAATGACATCAGACAACCTTAGCTACAACGTTGACACATGTTCTCTTCTTACTTCATCAACGCTTTCATTGTTTTGTGCTAAGTCTTTTTTACCTTATGTGCTTTATGATTTACACTATACACACATATATATATATATATATATATATATATATATATATATATATATATATATATATATATATATATGTATATATATATATATATGTATATATCTATAGTTATGTGTGTATGGTCATGTGTGTATGTGTTTGTGTTTGTGTTTTTCAATGCTTGGTTGTGGGAGTGTATGTGTGTGTACAAAGAGCGAGAGAAAAAATTTTTAAATTAAAAACAAAAATAAATAATAATTTCTTTTTTACTGAAGTTTGTTCTATAAATCTGCATTTTTTTTGTCTTTTCAACTTGTTATTCAATGTGGCTGGGCTTAGCTCTGACCACACAATAACTTCACGCGCCATGGTGTTGGAATCAGATAAACTCTACTTTATCTGCTTCGTGGATTTCAAGTGAATCGGCAGATCTGGAAGCCTGTTTTCAGAAGTAACGAAGAAAACTACTTCTCATTACTAACATTTATTAATCCACTCGACCAAGCATTCATTTATTCTTAAATATTTCACCACTACAAACTTACATGGGCTTATTAAAATAATTTTAGTCGAGCTTTATTAATGAATCGATTGGGTATAAACAAGAACGGAGTAGCGAACAGAGATTGTCAGTTTATAAATTTTTAAATTTTAAAAATATTGCACTTCAGCGTAGGTAAATAATCTATATCGATATTCCTAATATGGCATGAAATTACAGCAGTATTTTGGCAATGTCTTGTGTTGGATATTTATTTATTTGTTTTGAAGCCTTAAGACCTCTTTAGCTTTTAGATTTAGATTTTAAAATGTGTGATTCAGCAATTGGTTATAGCGAAATGGTGGACAAGGATAAAGCGTAGAGAGGAGATTGAAACAGATCCTCATGAGATTTGTGTGCGTTTTGTCAGCATCAAAGACATACCTAAATATTGTAATGGTGAATCGTGAGTAGCAAACATGTCCTAAAGAGTAAAGCAAAAACTTTTTAAAGTACATGAGCAAACCACATTGGTGATCATCCATAAATGACGTCATACTTTTTTGTACGAGTTTTACCTCCCCCCCCCCCCCTTCGCCCTGTCACACATCGTCACAAAAAGCCAGACACCTCAGCCTACAACCCCCCTCTAAATTGCAGTAGAATTTTTATTAAAACATCGATATTTTTTTCCAAATTCTGGTCTGAACTCTGTCAACATAGACAATTTATTACAATTTATTAAAGTTTTCTAAAACGCAAAATAACGGCTAAAATTTATTTTTGATATTACAAAAGTGTGACGTCACACCATCTGAACCCCCCTCACCCTCATCACAAAATTACGGACCCGCCTCCCCGTCTCGCATGACGTCATTTATGGACGACACCTTGGTGATCAAATAACTGATTAAAGAGCGGATTATAATAAAGTTATGAATGTATTACAGTTGTTTCGTTTTTGTTTATTGCTTTGCTGTTGTAAAAAAAAACGAACTTACCAATAATTACAATAAATTATAATCAGGTATAGTAATGACGTCGTTATTGTCTCGCATCAGTGGTAGTCCTCTAATGTTTTTACTAGTTTGTTTTCGCTTGGCATCTCTGGTGGCTAGTTTGAAATAAAATGAATAAAAATGTAGGCCTATTTACGAGAAATGTTCGAATTAACGAATCAGCTTAAAATATAATTTTTCGACTTCTTTTGAGTGTTGCTTTACTCAGTGGCGTAGCGAGGTCGGGTATCACCCGGTGCGGCACTTAATGGTGTCACCCCCCCCCCCCCCCCCAGAAGCGTAGCGACCCTTCCCGGGGACAAACTTTCAAATTTTCGATTTGCACTTTGGATTTGCACCCCCCTCAAATTTTTTCTCTATATATTTTGCTAATTTTTGTAATTTTTGCCTTGGTGTCCCCCCCCCTCCCCCCGATCTCGCTACGCCTCTGGCTTTACTATTTCCTATATTCCTATCATTTGGAGTATAACATCTATCTATATATATAATTCTCTTCTGGGATCAGTTAGAAAACAAGCTGCAAGCGCGCCTTTGCAGTCCCCTCTCTTCCTCTCTATCACTATCACTACCACCCCCACCCCACCCCCACATGATCTGGTGAGCGGTGTTCACTCTGTTTACATTTTACAATCATAGAGACGGGTTTGGTGACGGCTATTAGGGGCAGATAATTTAGTTTGAAACGATTTTAAACTTAGAGGAGGTAACTAAGAGGAGGCTGCTTTCACGTGGGGGGTGGGGGGGGGGGGGTTAGTGTTTTTAAGCAAATATTTTCAATGGCAGCATTGGTACTGTCGAATTCACAAATTATAAATTACTGAAAAGTAGAAAAAAACAACTAAATAGCGGCGTATGATACGCAGCGGGTCGGCTCGTATATATAATTCTCTTCTGGGAGCCGTTAGAAAACAAGCTGCAAGCGCGCCTTACAGTCCCCTCTCTTTCTCTCTATCCCCCCCCCCCCCCTCACCCCTACATGGTCTGGTGAGTTGTAGTTCACTCTAAATGTTTACATTTTACAATCATAGAGAAGGGTTTGGTGACGGCTATTAGGGGCAGATAATTTAGTTTGAAACGATTTTAAATTTAGAGGAGGTAACTAAGGGGAGGCTGCTTTCACGGGAGGGGGGGGGGGGGGGAGGGAGGGGGTTTAGTGTTTTAAAGCACATATTTTTAGTGGCACAAATTATGAATTACTGAAAAGTAGAAAAAACAACTAAATAGCGGCGTATGATACACCGCGGGTCGGCTCGTTAGACGATATTAAGTTAGCTTCAACACTTTTTTATTCATTCACGCTACAACCCCAACGGCACATCCTTCTTTAAGACTCATTCATAACAAACTCACAGATATCAACAACACGGTTACACACTACACAGAGACTCGACATTCAAGGGATATAACTAAGATATATGTATAACACAAGGGACGTAACAATAACAAATGGTATAATGTTACATTGAGAGTCGTATGTTTCGGAAATTAATTAACTGGAAATTTAATTTGCTTGTATTGAAATAGTAAATTAGTGATTTTTATTTTCTTTGACTTGTTTTAGTTTCGGGATTAAGGTTACCGTCTTTCAATAGGTTAACCACCATCCGTATACTATGTGAAATTTTTTTAACCTTTGTATTTAAATACTGGGCCGATTATGTATTAATATTCCACGATTGTCCTGGTGGTAAAGTTATATTAAAATATGTATAAATTTTATCCCTTTAAAAAAAAAGTAATAAATAAATAAAAAAGTATAAACGTTATCCCTTGAATCATCATGTAATTACACATTTGCATTTTTAGTTTCAGGTTGGTTTTTAATTTTTATTTTCTTTATATGTAGACGTTTTGTATTAGATCTATGTATAAGTAAACAATCTTAAATGAATGAAAGCAGGTTACAAGTGAGAAAGAAATATTACTATTGTAAATCTGTATCAGTCCTCACAAGCCGATGATGAAAACTGTAATACTAAAGCGAACACACAACTGACGCTGTAAATTACATGTCTGAGGCCAAAAAAAAAAAAAATTAGTAACGAATTGGCCCTTTTATGAAATTCTTCCGTATTATATAAAAAAAAATCACAGACAATTCTGGAACCCTGTATTGATTTATTGTCCATCCCGCTGCTTTAAACAATCAAACCACAGCCATAAATGTGCCAGATATTTTATTGTGTACATTTTTGTATCGATCTACGAGGATATTTGTTGTGATAGATAAACCAATGCAGCTAAACAGTTTTTTGTAAAGTGTGAGATGTTTGTGTCGTTGGTGGTACAATTGTTTTCATTTAAGGCCGTTGGTAAGTATTTTAGAATACTTCATTTTCACATTTTAAAGGCTTTGTATCTAAGAATAGTTGTAGTATTGTTGGGCATAACTTTATATATAAAAAGTAATTTGCATTACAAGTATATTTATAATATTTAATTAATATATATGTATATATATCTAATATATAAAGCTCAGTTCTGTATGTAATGCATATGTTTGTCGTTGGAATTGTATGAATTTAAGTGTTAGAAAATTTTCGTGCGCATTTGTCTAAATTTATTAGCTAAAAAATTACTATTGAAAGTGTTGGGAAATCATTTTCATTTTTCAAATTATAGTAATAATTGCCGGCATGTTCATTAAACACAAGTTTTAAAAAAAATATCATCTTTTACAAAAATTCTAATTATGTCTTTATTTAGTCCTATAGCACTTACTTCCCTTTGATAAATTAGGAAAACAAAATTACTTCCCTTTATAAAACCATTGCATTAGTCGAAAATAATTTACTTTTTAATTACTTTGTTTTGGTGTTGGGAAAAAAAAATAATTACATAATTAGCGGGGATTGATCAAGTACAAATGTTGTAGGTATTTTACGGATAAGCTTGGAGTATTAAAATTGTTCATCAAATTGAAACAGGCGCGTTCGTTTAAGTGAGTGCAAAAGACTATGAATAAGTTGGGGTACTATAGTCGTTCATTAAGCTAAAACAGGTGATTCCGCCCCGGGCGCTTATGTTCGCGTTAGTGTTTTCTTTGTGTTTAGGTGGGTTTGCGTTAGTCGTTGCGTTTTGATTTGGTTCGTTTTTGTTCTTTCTTTTTTCGTTTTTGTTTGTGTTTTTTTTTGGGGGTTTGTATTTGTGTTTTTGGTTGGTTTTGCGTTTGGATTTGGTTTGTTTTCGTTTGCTTTTTCGTTGTTTTTTGTTTTTGTTGGTATTGGTGTTTGTGGTTGGGTTTGTTGTTAGGTTTTTGTTTTCGTTTGCTTTTTTGTTTGTTTTTTCTTTGTGTTTGTATTGATGTTTGTGGTTGTGGTTGGGTTTGTTGTTAGGTTTTTGTTTTCGTTTGTATTTGTAATTGTGTTAGCGTTATGTTTGCGTTTTGTTGTTTTGGTTGGTAGTGGTTTGGGTGGGCAATGCCGGGTTT